AATGATGAATATTAAGTGGGTCAACATCTGAAAAAGTCAAGAAAAATAATACGGGATCCGATATATCCCTAATTTTTAGAAAGACTCATTCAAATAAAAATGCAATAAATACGGAAGGAAGAACGGGGATTTGTTACCTACAGATGATTTAGGTATTTAATCACCACTATCAACCATCGTTCCAACCATCAAAACAATATCTATCATCACTTAAAGGAAACCACCACCTTTCTCCTCCTTCTATCTTCTTTAACCGGAAACCTTCATACCTAACACTTCTGTCTCCACTAGTAATCTACTACCTCTGCCATTGCTTCACCGCCACCACCACCACCACCACCATAGAAAACCCACCATCAGTTTTGATTTTGTTTAGCCTTCAAAAACCCGTTTGTTACTTACCCATATCTTCTTTGTTCAAAACCCTAATATGCCCACAACCCACCGCCAATTGCCAAATCTGCCTCATCCAAATGCTCTCCAGTTCCATGGGTATCAGCCACAATCGAAACCCTAGAACCCATCTCATGAAACCATTCGAGTTTTCATCTGACATTGAAGACAAACCACTGAATACCAAACTCCCCTTATTCTCGGCCCCTATCTCCTTTATCCCGCACCATCTCCTTCTTTATTTTACGATGATGTTATCCTCCAATCCCACAAACCAGATCGCACGTCACCACCATCACCATTACTCTAAAACCCTAGATTTCATATGTCATTGCCACCATCGCCGCCCTCATCTACGGTCAACACCAGAATCGTTGTGCTACCCTCCCCACCATACGCGACCACCATCACATGCATCTCTCCAAGAACCATAAAAACCCTGAATTAGAACTTCTTCACCGCTGCCACCACATACATACCACCAAACACCAATCACATCAAAGTAAGCTCTATTCAATGCTTCTCTCTCTCTCTCTCTCTGTATTGTTATTATAGAGAAATATATTTTCCAAATCAAAGGTGATTTCCCTTTCATTTCATTATTTTGTTATTTTGTAACTTTTCACACAGATCAGTTTAAACACAGGTTGGTCATAGGTTTCTTGAAAGGGATGAGTAAACTTTAATACCTCTGATTTAAGTTTCTAACCATTTGAAGTCAAATAGATTCATTTCATGCATAGGTGACAGTTGATTCATCAACCATCAGTTTATTCTTTTTACTTCTCAGATTTTGTTCTTAGACATATTTTTTATTCTAATTTAAAATTTTTATTTGTTCAATGGATTTGTGTATGCTAGGGTTTTGTTGAGTGATGGTAGCCACCTACAAAAGGTTAATATCTTATTTGTCTTCACATCTTATTTTTGTTCACATTTTATTCTTATTTGATATGTATTTACTTGATATATAATATATGGATGTTTTATTATCCATGATTAAATTTGAACTTGTACACCACATGTAATAAGTTACAAAGTTAAAGTCGTTGATTTCCTTAAATTTGTATATAAGCTAATATTCCAAATGTGAGTTTGTCCATTAAATTAGAACTGAAATGTACTATTTGTGGGTTTTCATGACTATCTGAATAGAGGTAATAAGCAAATTTTCCAGATTTTTGTTGATGTTTGATGATGGCTGCGAATATTACTTATAGTTTTGTTGCCGTATTTGCATAGATTTTTTTTCTTAATCTAATAAAAAATTTGTTTATGTTATATTCCTTGTTGCATGTATTGATACTTGGGATTTTTACATATTTGGTGACACCAAAGTTCTCTGTCTTCAGGCTGCAACTCATTTTCTTGGAAAAGCTATTATTTTTATTGCTTTGAGGTCATGGAGCTTGAATATTGTGATAAGCCAAACATGTATCATTTATGTTCGCATTAATTTATCTTCTCTATGATGTGTCTTATTAAGAAATATCAATTTACTAATCAGTACTTCACACCATTCTAGCTCATTGGATATGCAATTGGTCCATGACAATTACTGCTTTCAAAATTTCATTTGCCACCAAGAACAATGAATTTTAAAATTTCATGGTTTTTTTAGTTTGATCACTTCAACTCATTTCAATTATTACACAGATATCAAAACGGATTTTTATGGAAGAAGAAGAGAAATGGATGCTAACTTTTTCTTTCATCCTCCTACAAGGATACTCTTTGAATCGAAAATGTACTTAGTTAGATGGGCCTTAAAATATGAAGGAAGTGTTGGATTCGTGGAGCTATGCGATTTTGGTTAGACCTAAATCTCCTATTTACTTACTGTTAAAAGTATTTGACTTTAAATTGTATCTTTAACCATTTTTCATGTCTACACAAGACAAGAAACGACGAAGTTGTACTACGTAAAGGTTAAATGCAAAAAATGGCCTGGTATCAAGCTTGAACACCATCGATAACTTGGCTAATAATGAACCCAATGGCAAGCTTCCTCATTGTATTTGTTTATTAAATCGTTTTGGTCAAACATAAATTTTCATATATAGTTTATCATTAAAACAATAGTTATTACTTTCAATCAGATAATAACACCTTCCAGTTATGTGATTTTTGTCCGTTTTAGGCCACAATTTCAGATTTATCTATATTCTAGGGTTTGATTAGTTTGTAAACAAGGCAAAAAAATTGGTCTATACTTTTCTGTTATAACAGGCTACATCAGTACACTTTTTTTTTCTTACTAAGGCATTGTACTTATTTTTATTTGGATTAGATTTCTATAACTAGGAGTTTTTTTGTCAAGATACATTGTTGTAATAGAAAGAAACAAAAATGCTATAATTAACATATCAATGAAAATATATTGCCATTTCTTGTATATAAGGCTTTGATATCTATATTTATGATTGAAAATGTGCATGTGGTTTTTATTTTTATGTTGTATAACTGTTACTTTTGTGCAATTGGTTTTGCAGATTCTGGGATATTCTTTATTTTGGTTGTTTATACTTTTTAATGTTGTCTTTAGTTGCAGAGCTGAATTAGCCAGAGTGGGAACCATGTTGTGTCAATGAACCAACAAAATATTTTGATGTTTTTGTTTGTTTTTGAGAATTTGTTTGAGCTTTAACGATATGTTAATTAGCTTTTCATATTTAGTTGTGATTGTAAACTGGCATTCCCTTTTTTTGTTTTGTTTATGTTCTTGCTTTTGAAAATGATGGTTTGTGTAAGTTCTCATTCTCCAGTACCAGATAAATGAAGAGTACTAATCACTTTCCAAATATCTTTTGCGGTTTTGTCCAAAACCAATCAATCCATAAAAAGTTTAAGAAGCATATGGTACAACTCCTAAATCCATCGCTTAATTTGGTTAAAAAAAAGTCATTTTACCATAATTAGTTTCCATTTTTCAAATTCATGAAACAAGAGGAGGAGCTAAATGTACAATCCCTGAAGTCTATTGCCAAGTTTGAACCAACCCTTGTGGCCATGGAGGTTTGCCTGCAGTGACTCCAGGGCATGAGGCAAAGCCTCATGTTTGTAGCAGGGGATTAGTCGGTGCGCGAAAGCTGGCCCGGAAACCCTCGTTAGGGAAGTTCCCTTTCCAAAAGTTTGAACCAACCCTTCTCATCTATTTTCTGCATATACAATTTCACTGAAGACATACATCTTATGAATAAAAAACCGTAACAACTTGTATGTATTTTATTTTTATCTTTCATCACCGAGTTTTTTGAACACAAAATACCAATAATACCCCTTACTAAACTCTACCCACCTTTGACCTATTTTTTATCCAATTAAACATGATAATAAAAATATCATCATGGAGTGGATTATGTAATCGCCAACTTTAGTATTTGAATTTTGTTGCAACTAACCTTAGAATTCAATAACTTATAGATATACAAATGTAATGACATTTTTTTGAAGTAGGTTGCTATTTTGACAATTTTTTTTTATAAACACTTCATATTTTTTCTTTTTCGGTTATATCAATTTTTAAAAGTAGTTTAACTTTTTCATTGGTTTTACAATTTTTTTTTTGTTTTTGGTTTTTTTTTTTCAATTTTGACCTTTTATATAGGTATTGGAAGACAATTTGTTTGGAGGTTCACTTTTCTATGTTTTGTGCGACTGGCTTGAGAAGATTGCAAACAAATATACATAAAAGATGAATAACAAATAGTATTTTATGTTTTTTACCCAAATGATATAACTTGCATAAAATTTTACCAAATGATGCATTTGATTCGCTTGAGAAGATTACAAGTATACATAAAAGATTAAGAGCAAAGAATATGTTATGTTTTTATCAAAATGATACAACTCGCATATAATTTTCCCAAATGATGTGTTTGAATCGCTTGAGAAGATTGCAAGTATACATCAAAGAGGAACAAAAAAAATATATGTTCTAAATTTTACCCAAAGAATGTGTGTTTGACCTATTCTGGTTTTACTGTAAGTTGCTATACCATGCAGGTTTACCTAATAAACACATGATACGTTAAAAATTTTGGAAGTACTATGGATAAGGTAAAATTTTCGCCCCTACCAGAAGAAAACTACTCATTGAAAGCAACATATTCGATGCTCGCTGCATTGAAAAATCTTTGAAATATGACGACTTTCGAAAGGAAACTAATCGCTGAAAGGAACCCGAAAAGGGAATACATTATGTCTTATTTCTAATGACATCTTTCCAAATGCAAACTAATCGATTGGTTGAAACTAATCATTGACGGACAAAAAAAAGCTAATTGCCGAAACTATTCGCACCCGTCGCTTGGCGCGGGTAAACGGCTAGTATATATATATATATATATATATATATATATATATATATATATATATATATAATATATATATATATATATATATAATATATATATATATATATGTTACTAAAGTTGTTCTTAATATGATATTTTGATTATAAAGTTTTAATATTTAGCCCAACTAAATTCTTAACAAACCAATTATGCTGTTCACATTTACATCCATCGGTACTTAAACCTTGCAGAATAGAACATATTCACCAGTTAACTTCTTTATATTCATCACTAATGATGTCTCCAACGATCATGGTCCTCATTGTCATTATGCTCATATTATGTGCCAGGTTTCTCTACAAGAAATCTTTAAGCAACCCACACCCACTGCCACCTGGTCCAATGTGTTTCCCATTCATCGGATGTACTATCCAAATGCTCCTAAATAAGCCGACTTTTAGGTGGATCCACAACCTCATGGATCAATTCAACACTCAAATACTTTGTATCCGACTAGGATCTTCAACTCATGTCATCACAGTCACCTCCCCAGAGCTAGCATGCGAGTTCCTAAAGAAACAAGAGGCAATATTCATTTCACGACCTGATTTCTTTTCAGCATATCTTTTGAGTGATGGTTATCACACAGCTGCTTTGGCCCCCCTTGGAGACCAATGGAGGAAGATGAGAAGAGTCATAACCCACGACATGCTCTCGTCTCAAGTGCACAAATGGTTCCAACCCAAACGTGACGAAGAAGCCAACCAGTTGCTTGGGTACATATGCAATCAAATAGAGAACGGAGATAACATAACTGATGGGGGATTAATAAACATTCGGATGGTGAGCCGACATTTCTGTGCAAACTTAATGAGAAATATGATTTTTGGAAGAAGATTCTTTGGGAAAGGAAGCGAAGATATTGGTGGGCCTGGGGAAGAAGAAACTGAACATGTGGCTGCTATTTTTAACATCCTAAAGTATCTTTATGCATTTTGTATTACAGATTATCATCCACGGTTGAGAGGGAAGACTGATTTTGATGGCCACGAAAAGAGCATGAGGTCAGCACTCAAAATTGCTCGAAAGTATCAAGACCCATTGATCAATGAACGGATACAGATGTGGGAAAATGGAGACAGAATGGAGAAACATGATCTGCTAGATGTTCTTATCCAACATGACAACCCTAAGGTTACAACAGTGGAGATCAAAGCCCAGATTATTGTAAGCCTCTCCCAATCTCTCACTATTTACTTTTACATGCAACTAGTAAAAAAACTGATATACTAGTGACCATGTGGATGTTACTTTACGTTTACACTTTCCATTGTGTCTGCATGAAAAGTGACTTTCCTGTGTTTATTTTCTTGCCTAATTAGGAAATAATGGGTGCAACAGTTGATAATCCCTCTAACGCAGTAGAATGGACAATGGGAGAGATGATGAATGAACCCACCCTCTTAAAACGAGCGGTCGAGGAGCTGGACCATGTTGTAGGTTGCAATCGGCTAGTCCAAGAGCGAGACTTACCCCAACTCAATTACCTAAAAGCGTGTATCAAGGAAGCCTTTAGGTTACACCCTTTTGCAGCTTTTAATCCACCCCATGTTTCGACCATGGACACTACTGTTGCCGGTTACTTTATACCAAAGGGTAGTCATGTGCTGCTTAGTCGACGTGGGTTAGGAAGGAATCCAAATGTGTGGGCGGATCCATTGCGGTTTAATCCTGATCGTCATCTACAGGGGGCAGAAAAGCATGTGGTTCTTACAGATGATGAGTTGAGAATGATTTCATTTAGCACCGGGAAACGTGGTTGTCCTGCAGTGGTGTTGGGCTCTACCATCACTACAATTATGTTAGCCAGACTGCTTCAAGGGTTCACTTGGGAGCCGATATGTAAAGAGCTGCCGATTAAGCTTGTTGAAAATCATGATGACCTTAGCTTGGTTAAGCCACTTGTGCTCATTGCCAAGCCACGGCTGCCTCAACATCTCTACCCAAAAATTTGAAAATAATTTTGGTTTTCACTCTTGATTATCATAAATAAGATGACGTTTATGGTTTTAGAGAAAAACTAATAATGCGTCTACTTTGTGTGTACCTTATGTCTATATCTATATTTATAATATATTGTATAAAACGTATTAATTTATTGAGAAGTACAAGTTAATAGGCACCTATTCTTCTTTCAAAATCCCATTTGTACGCCCGGCCTCATGTGTTTTCATTTAGGTTATTGGAGTTTGGTTTAAACTAGTACTATATTTGTATCGACTTTTTTTTTAGTGATTAGGACTTTGTGTTATTATTATTATTTTTTAATAATGTTTTCGTTGGTGTTATGATTTTAGGTTGATCCAAAAAAAAAAAAAAAGCATACTGGTAAAGATTACGTTTTTTTTCCCAACGTAACCAAAGGTAAACCACAGAAGAGAATAATCCAAAAACCCACGCTTTTGCTTATGTTTTTCGTAGGTGACATTGTGTCCTCATTTTGCCTATGATTCTTATGAATACCATATCCTAATTCCCAAACATGCCCAATTTTTTAATTAAATAAAAATCTATAGATTTAAATTTTGAAATGTGACTCCCCATCTCTATATCACATCTGCTGCTTGGTTTTCTTTCTTTTCTCGATCTCTAACTACTTTCATTTTTTGGTTTGTTTATATATGTAGATCAAGTAACCATGAAATTAGATGACATGCGACATTTGATTGTGAAAACTAATGAAAAAAATAGTGCTAGAGTTTAATTGTTGAATAAAAAAAGAGAGTAGAACTACAATAAAACGAAATGACGATAAAATATGATAGCTAATTTGGTTTAACTGTTAAAGGGGTCAAACATGGCCCAAACAAGAAAATGGCCTAATAATTTATTAAGCTAATATCCCCTGAAACTCATAATGCGTCAACAATAAGCACTGTCAGAAAATGAAACCGATGAGCAGCCAAGACTTTCGTAAATATATCAACAATCTGCATAGTTGATGAAACGTGAATAAGAGAAATATTCCACTTCTAAAAGTGGTGACGAGTGAAATGACAATTAATCTCAATATGTTTTGTCCATTCATGAAACACCGGATTCTTTGGAATAATTATTTCACGCTCGTTGTAATAGTGCAAATAGGTAGCATGAGAAATATGAATACCCATGTCAACAAGAAGTCGTTGCAGCTACACAATTGCGCAAGTAGCAAGAGTCATAATTTGATACTCAGATTTTATAGATGATCAAGAGACATCATCTTGTTTCTTACTCTTCCATGAAATCAATGAATCTCCAAGAAAAGTATAATATCCAGTAATAGACTTACTTTCATAGACATTACTATCCAGTTCCAAAGAGGACCCAACTTGACTACACTAAATCCCCTGGTGGGTTTTTCCACATTGATTATTAATATCTTACTATGATGTTTGAGAGATAACTTTTATTATGCTTGGTTTTTGAACAAATGTTTGTATGGGTTTGATGGTTTGAAAATTAATATTTTTATTACTATTTTTGGGACGTTACAAGTTTGTATCAGAGCCTTGGACTGAGGGATTTGGGCATAGTCACGGGTGTGTTTGAGCTTAAACTAAGGAATTGATAATCATTTCGAAAGAAAATAAATTTTATAAAAAATATATTTATAAATAAAAGGAGTTTGATGGGTGCAATCAACTGAGCTCAAAGTGATTCCCAAAATACTCATACATGCCTATTATGCTTAGGATGTTATTATTTCAGTTGCAGGCTTGACTAGGGCTAAGGATACCATCATGAATTTCATGATAGATTTGCTTAATTTTGTGATTCCTTGTAGCCTAGGAGGAATTGGATATTATGTATTACTTGAAGTCTATATTGGAAAAGTTAATTGCTAAGTGTATGTATAAAATTTGTATATGATTAAGATCATATAGCCATAGAATTATTGATTTAGCCTTATTTCTTGTTCCGTGTCTGGTTGTGGACTTAGGGTAGAATCACTTATTCGACAACCTATTGTTCTTGTTTTGTGTATAATTTTCATGCATAAGGCAACCAACAATGTTGGTAGAGGTTCCTAGTATTGCTGAAGCAATTGAGATGATGATTCCTAGGAGAGCCTAGGGAGTGATGTAGCAAGATATGCATGTTGTTTAGCATAAGGCTTATGAGAGTTGCCATGGTGGTGTGACTTATAGGATTTGGGATGATTTTTGAGGAAGGTATGTATATGTGTAGAGGGTAGTATTGGGCCCCTACTACTGAAAGCACATAATCCATACTTGAATCAAGGAAAATCAAGGAGATCCTATGGATCTTGTAGTGTGAGAATTCCCTCGAGTATGTTCTGATCGTTTATATGTTTTCCTTTTAGTATGGTGGTGAGAAATCGAGGAGGAGGTTCAGGTTCAGGTTCTAGTTTAGGCTCTAGTGTTGAGCCGATTGATGAGAGGATATGTGAGTTCATTACATCAGAGATTGCTCACGATATTTTGGATGCGACTCTTATGATATTTGGTACCATCAAGGAGGGGATCATGGAGTTGTTCGTTGGTCGCTTAGGGGCCTTCCGTGCAGAGATTGTACTTACTCATTTCGGGGCACAAACTCTCTATCCTTTCGGGAGTTTAAGGCTTGCAGCGCCCCAAAGTTTTTTAGGTAATTGCCAACAAACGGTGGATCGCAGATATAGAGCATGGTCAACCAACGAGTTTCTAACAAGAGGGATCGAAGGCTGGATTGTAATCTTTCCTTCTGAGGGATGGAGCCCACAACTGGTAGGAGAAGGTTGGTCATGCCTTGGGGGCTGAGGCCGTGGCAGCCATTACTTGGACACATTTTGTGACGAGATTCAGAGCGGAGTTCACACCTGCTATTGAGGTGTAGCAGTTGGCGAGGGAATTTCAAATCCTTCGCGAGATGACGAAGACTGTGCCGAAGATAACCGCTAAGTTCAGGGAGAGGGCTTTTTTGGTTTCAGAGTAAGAAGACGAGGTATCATGACATGCTCAGGGACGACATTCGAGAGTCTGTGAGCATGTCGTGCTACAAGACTTTGGAGGATATGATTGCCAGATCTTGGGAATGGGAGATTGATTCGAGTTTCGGACGAAGTGCAAGCTTAAGCACGTTCAGACAGTAGTGGGCCCGGTAAAGAGGCACAATACCTTTGATTCTTATTCTAGGGGCGAGCAAGGTTGCAACCATTGCGGAATATGCGGCAAACCGCATGAAGGGGTTTGTCGAGCAGGGGGTTCGGTTTGTTTCAGGTGTGGTAAGGCATGACATTTTGGTAGGGATTGCCCTCGAGGAGCACTGATACGTTGTCATTGCAATCAGACGTGCCACAAGAAGGCTGTTGGCCTGAGATTAACGAGAGGAGCAGTGGTGGTACCCGTTCGAGCTACCCTGAGATTTATTGATAGCCGTCAGGGCAAGGCAGTGGCTCTCGTGGTAAGAAGCAGCGCATTCCAGTTGACAATCGAGGAGGCACGAGCAACACCAAATGTGGTTACCAATACATATCTCTTTCTACTCTTTGCTGCTTTCCTTATTTTATGTTTGTGTTTTATGTGCTCGTGTTCATGGATGTTTTTAGTGAGTGGGTTATTGGCTCTTGTTCTTTTTCATCCGTTACTACCCGATGTTTTTAGTGAGTGGGGTACCACAAGAAGTATCTGATTAAGCTAGTCCTTATTCCTCTAGTAGGGACAAAGATTATTGTGGGCATGGACTGGTTGAGCCAGAATTGAGCTATGATTGATTGTAAGCGTCATCTGGTGAGAGTTCGAACCCCAAGTATGGGAGAACTAACTATTGACGATGATGGCACTCAACGAGTACCTACTTTTTGCTCAGCTACGAGGGCTAGGAGATATCTTCAGCAGGGATGCAGTGGGTGATGTCCCTATCGTTTGACATTTTCGAGATGTGTTTCCTAAGGATTTGTCAGGTGTGCCTCCTAAGAAGCATGTGGAATTCCGAATCGATTTGGTTCAAGGTGCGACTCCTATGGCCAAGGCACCATATATCCTAGCATCATCGGAGACACATGAGTTATAGACAAGGGATTCATCGGGCGAAGCAGTTCGTTGTGGGAAGCACTAATCCTGTTTGTGACGAATAAGGATGGTTCCTACAAGATGTGTATTGACTACCATGAGTTAAACAAGTTAATGGTGAAGAACCATTATCCACCTGCGCATCGATGATTTATTAGACCAGATCTAGGGTGCATCTTAATTTTCCAAGATTGATTTGAGATCATGTTATCATTAGATGAGGGACAGGGATGAAGACATGCGGAAGACAACATATAGGACCAGCTATGGTCACTATGAGTTTTTGGTGATGTCATTCGGGTTCACCAATGCACCGACAAGATGCATGCACCTCATGAACCAGGTGTGCAGACCAATGATGGACCGGTCTGTTATAGTGTTTATTGATGATATCTTGGTCTACTCTAAGACCAAGGAATAGCATGAGGAGCACCCGTGAGAGGTTTTAGAGACCTTGAGGAAGGAGAGGCTTTATACCAAGTTCACCAAATGTGATTGCTAGTTGCGCGAGGTATAGTTCTTGGGGCATATTGTCAACCTGAAGGGTATATTGGTCGACCCGCCCAAGATCGAGGCAGTGATGCGGTGGGAGATTTCGAGGACACAATATGAGGTCCATAGTTTCCTTGGGTTAGCAGGTTCTCACTGGAGTTCATTTAGAATTTCTCCAAGATTGGTGTCCCATTGACCCGATTGACGAAGAAAATGTTATTTTTTGGTGGGGGAACAATCATACCAAAACATTAGTATCAGTAACATGAACACCCAGTCTTGGGGTGAACTAAAGTAGATGTTGATCTATGACTACTGCCCTCAAGAAGAAATGCAAAGGTTGGAGCAAAAGTTATGGCGTCTGACCATGAATGACACATACATCGCGGCTTGTACAAACCGATTCAACGATCATGCCACCCTTTATACCAGCTTTGCAACTCTAGAATACAAGAAGGTGGAGATAGACA